CACAAGCAAGTCTAATCTGCTCACAGAAGAACAGTGTACATTTTGTGCTAATACACCAGGCTATTAGACATTAAATATATTAATTGGATTTAAAATTGCAAATATGCTCTGGCCATTGCGTGGTTAAAAGGAACTTGTACTAAAAAAAAATGTTATGTAGTTTTGCATTAAAGACTTGAAAATGCTAATTGCCTGGAATTCTTTGTATTTTACAAGACATTGAGGTCTATTTACTAAAGACGTTGAAAATGAGTTCACACACAAAAAAAGAGTGAAGATTCACTTCAGCTATCCAATCATGTGCAAAAATAATAAAGAAGCATTTGCTTTTCACAATTGAATATAATTGAATTGAATAGTCACTCTTCCTTAGTAAATCAGGTTTACTGATTCATTTATTTGTATACAGCTAATAAAGTCCAATTAAAGTGCAGCTCCTGATCTGTGTTCTTGTTCATGGTGAGTGGCTTGAAAACAAACACTGAGAAGCCAGTGAATCAGATGGATATTTTCAATGGGTTAGCAATAGCAACCATGGATACGGCACAGGTTTGCTCATCTCCAAATCCAGGCTTTGGTGGGAAAGGTGGAGGAGGCAAACCGGTTAACTACCCAGGGCTCTCAAACTCCTAGGGATCCAAAGGTAGCAAAAACAGACATTTGGATAGACAAGTCTCCAAGGCATCTCTGTGCTATAAACATGCCCCTTGCACACATTATACCTACCCTTTGTTTAGAGCAGTAGTCATGGCAGTGCTTTACTTTGTTGCTTTTGCTTTTAGCAGGGCTGACAAACTTTTGATGTGTTAGTACAAAAATGTATTGGCTTTCTGGCTGTTAATCAGAAAGCATGGCCCATCCAAACACTGCCTATATTCCAAGAAGAAGCCATGCAGTACTAGGCACATGAAATCTTCTTACGCCTGCCAAGGACAGCATGGTAAGGCAGTACTAGGGCCACCAGTATAAAGTATTAGCACAGTAGGAAAAACAGTTATAAGGGGCTTGTTTCCCACTTGGAGTTGTCTGCCTCCCTAAATGCTGATCCTCTGCTTTTGGAGGGTCCTACTGTAGTAGCTTGGGGTTCACTATGGTTTATGGAACAATGCATTGTATACTTAAGTGCTGCTGGTGATGGCTTGCCTCCCTAAATGCCTGTCCTGGGATTTTAGAGAGTCCTTGCAGCTTGGGGTCATTATAATTAGTTGAGCAAGGTGTTTGGAATTCAAGTTCCATTTGTTATTATTTGTATCCCTCAATGTCAGCCTTTGGTTTTGGATTGTCCTAGAAGCTTATGGTGCAGTTTGGTTAGTTTTAAAAAAGTCATTTACCCATAGGGCCATTAGTCCCTGCCTTCTAGGACCTGTGAATTAATTGTTTTAATATTTTTTAACTTTATTCATTCGCAACTAGTAGGCATGTAGTGTTGAACACTGTAATGGCTCAAATTCCAGATGCAAATACAATGACTTATTGTCTTGAATAGACTTACAATATCAAAAACACTGAATGCTGAATATTCAAACAAGTGATATTGAATATTTAACAACATTGGTTGCCCTTTTTACAGCATCTAGTTAAAGATGATAGAGGAGCAAACAATAGGCTGCATATCACTCAGATCATTGGACATTACCATAAGGTTTGTTGCTAGCATATATGTATGTTCGATCCAGGGGCGGACTGACAACTCATGGGGCCCCCGGGCAATAGGGGATCATGGGGCCCCTGTGCCCTTGCAAAAACTCAAAAAAGCCTATGAAAAATGTACCAGGGGCATCTCATGGGGCTCCCTACTAACCATGGGCACTCGGGCAGTGCATGAGTTTCCAAATGGTCAGTCCGCCCCTGGCTGAAGTGCCCCCATTGGTGTCTAATGGTATGCAACTGTGGGGGTAGGCACTCCATCCTTCATGTGCATGCTGCAAAAGCCCGCAAAGAGGGCATGGTGTTTAATGAAGAAGAGGAATTGCCTGAACAGTGCTGGGTACCAGGGCATGACTGAAGTGCAGTTATAAGAGGTACATTTTTTTTTTCTACTCAGAATTCCATTTTGTCCAGCCCTTCCTATCTCTTAACCATTTAAGTGCATTATCTGGCCACAGACATCGGAGAAAATATTCATGTGCAATAAAAAACTAACCATCTCCCAGTGAGTTTTGACTGAGCTTCCCTCAATATACGAGTGGCGTTCAAGTCATACCGGGACTTTTGAGTTTATATAATAAAAGAACAAATCTCAAGGAGTGGAAACTGCATTTATTTTTTTACTCTTCTGCTACATTTACACACTTATCCCAGTGTTTAACTAATGTCTGGAAAGCTTCGGCATAAAAAGATTTGTCAGTACGCCTGAACGATCCTAGGAGAGCCTGCGTCACTTAGTCATTATTGTGTTTACCATTCGCACAGAAAGATTTGTCTCTTGTGCAATATTACAACAGGTTATGTGCTGATTTCCAGGATCAGTCGTGCTGAATGTTCACAGGAATGACTGCTGTGGGCTGGGAACCATCACGCCCAGGTTCTTCACTGATGGATGTACAGCCATCTTTGAAACATTTACACCATTCAAATGTTTTACTGCGGCTGAGTGTCTCATCACTGTACTGTGCTTGAAGTCTTCTGTAGTTTCCGCATTTGTTCACAAGAAACTTCATCGCCACACGCTGTTCTTTGCATGCACTAACACTGTGTCTGCCATCTAGATTAACGGTCTCTGGACTGGCCCGCAACATGTGTGGCATCTATTAGTAAAAGAATACACTTGCCACTTACTACTGCGTATAGTACCACCATGCTAGCATCCCTTTTCATACCTGTAAAATTAAAAGTAGTGGTTTGACTTGAATGCCCCTCATAGAAATGTTTGGTATAGGCTATGCAGAAGAGAGTATACAGGCACAGCTGACATGCTTCAGAGAGGAAACAATAGCCATCAGTCAGAATTATTTAGCCAATATGATTTCCCCTTGAAGACATAGTCTGAGCTTTTCCAATGACACAAGATTGCCATCATCTCATCCCTGTGGGCACTTTAGAGTCTGACACGTGTAGTAGATTGATGCATACATATAAAACATACATATACAAACATAGGTGTCCTTTTATGACACAGAGAATAGCTGCGATTCAACGGATCTCAGCTATTTTCTGGTCATTCACAGTTTATAACACTCAGGAGATCATGTCAGCCCTTCTCTGGAGATCTGTGTTCTCCCTCCAGATTCTCCAGCCCAGAGCTGGAGAATCAGAGGGACCGAAAACTAAGCAGAGATAGTTTACCTCTGCTTAGTAAACTGATCTTTTACTGTAATCTCGCGCGATTATAGTAAAATGAGCCGTTTTTCAGAGTTTGTACACCGTTTTCCAGCGTTTGGAGACCGTTCTCCCTTCGTTCGGAGAACTGCTTCATAAACTGCATTCACAGGAGAACTGTGTTCTCCGAGAATGCCGGAGAACTGAGCAGCGATCTATTACCACTGGTTCACAAACGGACACCATAAAGAAGAGAAATGCATGAGAATTTGTTGCTGTTCTGCTTAAAATGCTTGCTGCCTAGCTGCCATGCAGATCCTTTGGCTGCTATACTTTGGGAGTCACTGACCAGGAATAAATATGCAGCAACTAAAGTCAGAACCCCAGATACTTGCTCAAGGTTATGACTTAAACTGACCATTCTCTAGTAGAATTTCATTTATAATTTTTAGGTTTTACAACATTCCTTTGGTTTTCTAATGATTAGTGGAGTCAAATCATTTTAGACTGTAGTGATGAGAATATTCAAAGGTGCAGGATGGAAATTTTTAACAGTGCATGTCATTTTTGTTTGGGAAATTCCATTCATATCAAAATGGAATGCTGAAAGCAAACACATTTTCTATGTATATTTGAATGATTTTCATCCACTCTCTGCTACCGCTATCAGATGTACTAATGAGTAGTAAAGCTATAGGGTGGACAGACAACCGCCATTTTCACATGCGCATTTGCAATAGCAGTCTATGTATTCCTCTCATACCATTTGAAATGTAAGGTGTTATATGCAATGTTTTAAATCTAAATATGGAGCCAGTCTCCCAATCTGCACTATAAATGGGGAATCTGTGACATGATCCATTGTTTTGCAAGAGAATAGTTCTACCTTAATTAATAGAAAGTAAAGATTGAGTTTACTGAAGATAACTTAAAAACATTACCTCTGTGACTTTGCTTAATTTCTGAAACCCTATATTAAGAAAAATACTAAAAATATTAGAAGATGTTCAAAAAGTCCAACTTTTCCTACAATCCTTAACCTTTTCATGGCTAGAAGTAATTCATCCATGGTTGCTTGAAGCACATTTAGCAGTGACAATATGTACCCATTAACTTGGCATCAGTCTATAATTAATTTGTGTATCCATATAATTTCCTTTTTTGTGGCCATAAAAGGCTTTTTTTGGAACAATGTTTTAATAAATTCCCTGCTCTTAATTTTTTTTGTGAAAATGTGAACATAATATTAATACATTTTTTAATATTTCACATTTTAATATTAACGTTTATTATTGTATTTTTTAAAAATACATTACTGCTCAACGGTGGCACAGAGAATAAAAATTTTGACAACAGGCGCTATAATGTGTTTATATAAATAATTTAATTTAACTTTTAGAAACATAAAAATAATAACAATAAAGCTGATACAAATTATCAATAGGTAGGTAATCAATATGTATATTTGTATTTATAATCGTAACATTTCTGGGTACCTTTGGACTTCTCAACACATTTGACCCGTTATCCTGTTTAATATATAACTATTTATTTCTACTTCTGTTTAGGGTTGCTAAAAAAAAGTACTACTGCAAGGAAAAAAATAATATGTGTGAAATCTTGGATAACTGTTTTCTATTACACAGATTTGTAGCTGATTTACTAAGAATCAGCTGTAAAAGTGTATGTTGGCAAAATACAGATCAGAAGTTTATGTTCTTGTTTTCTTTTTGCTTTTCAAGATACTATGCTATCTGCTGCCAGCCTCTGGTTTACAGGAACAAAATGACCCCACTGAGGATAACGTTGATGCTTGGTGGCTGTTGGATTATCCCAACATTTATATCATTCCTCCCAATTATGCAAGGATGGAACAGCATAGGCATTCTGGACTTGGTGAGTTAATAAAAAAGTGTCCATGCAATGAGTAAATTTGAACATAATGTGAGTTTAGATACTGTATTTTAGAGTTCTGTATTTACAATTGATTGTACACTCCCCAGAAATGCAAACCACATATATATACATGGTTTTGTGAAGCCCTGCTGCCCTGTAGCAGTACGTATACTATAGGGCAGCGGGCAAGCGGTTAATTATTTTACTTTTTTAGGGAAAAACAAAACAGACAATGAAAAAAAAACAGAATAAACATTTATGGTGACAGTACACAACAATCAAATACTATAAATGCACCCAAAACTAAACAGAAAACTAAATTAAATCCTCCTAAATACTCTGAACATACTGTACCTCAAAAATTGCACCTGCTAAATTAAAAGTGTAAATCAAGCACATTTTGTTCTATTTTCCGGTCATTTTTCAAATCTAGTTTGTAAATCTTTGGAAAAAGACGGTATGAATAGCTGGGCACTGCCATGGGGAAAAAAGCACCTTGTCCGCATGTTGATGGGGACAAGGGACTCACCCTTACATCCCTTGCTCTGTGGATATGTTGGCCTGCTAGAAGGGTGACTTATTGAAATCTGTAAGCCCCCTTTAGAAATAGGTGGTGCCAGATATCTACCCCCTCCTACATGAATCAGGCAAGCATAAATCCATCATCAGCCACATCCAGCAATTTTGATCATTGTCAGTCATGATGAATTATGGCTCCATGAGCTACTGACAAACACACAATGAACCTGCTCCCAATGGACTCTCAATGCAATTAACAGCTCTTGGATCTGCTGCTTAATGTAAACAAACCATCCAGGGATTCTGCATTATGTCATTGACCAAAAAAGTCATTCCTCTAGTGGCAGTAGTTATACAGTTACTATATGAATGACTTCTGGTTTCAGCAGCAATCAGAGGTTTGGCACCGATGAAAAAGCCAAATCTGGCCATTAAGTTCGCTTAGAATGATGAAGGGGTGAAAGGTCATATTATTGTCTATAGAGGACTTCTTTAGCTCACATCTGTTTGCTTTACTAACCACAGTGTTACACGTTTAGCACAACTGTGTTTTCATGCTTCATTTGTGATGATGTCATGAATTTAAGGACAGTAGAGAAAAGACATAGTCCTTGTTCTCAGCATACAATTTCTTCCTTGTGTGCACACGACTGTGAAATCAATCTGTATGTTAACGGCTTTTAATGAAAAAAGCACCTAAACCATAATATAATTTACCATGAAATTACCATTAATTGAAATAATCTCAAAAATAAAATGCGCCAACCTGTAGCTACTCAAATACAATGAAAAGCCTGAGGCAGGATATTTAATAATAAAATTGAAAGTTAAGTGAAGCATTCTCGAAACAAAGAAGATGCAGAACTGACAAGCATCTACAGTAGAAGAAGTATCTGAGGAGGATAATTTAGACTTATTTATATGGATGTCTAAGGATACACCTCTACATTTTAAAGATCTACTTCACTCTGTACTAGCATACTATTATAAAAATTTAGACTTGCACGAATTACTAATAATATAATAATAATAAACTTTATTTTATATAGCACCTTTAAAGGTAGCTTCTCAAAGTGCTTTACAAAGAAACAAACAAGAAATATGCAGGATAAAACAAAGGAAAAAAGGACCATTAAGTGAAAGCTTGTCTAAAAAAAACGTTTTTAGATTTGATTTGAATGCGTTTAGAGAAGATTACTCTCTGATCCTTGGAAGAGAATTCCAGAGTTTTGGAGCATAGCAGAAGAAGGCTCTGTCTACCATCAAGTGTAGGTGAGTAGGGGGGCACACAGATGACCAGAATTTGAGGAACAGAGGTTACGAGGGAGAAAGTAAGTTGATAAAAGTTCAGACAGATAATGGGGTGCCAAGCCACAAAGATCCTTATAGGTGAGCAAGACGATCTTAAAATCTATGCAAAACCTGACAGGTAGCCAGTGCAAGGACTCCAGGAGAGGGGTAATATGGTCACTTGTACCAGACCTACTGAGGATTCTGACTGCAGAATTTTGTACATATTATAGTCAATTAATAGTGGATTTAGGTTCACCAGTAAGTAAAGCTTTGCAACAGTCAAGTCGGGAGAACTCAAATTTATGGATTAGCTTTTCAGCTATGTATGATAGCATAGTATGCAGCCAAGCTATGTTTCTCAAGTGAAAAAAAGATGTTCTGACAACATTTTGTACATGTGTCAGAAGTTAAGCTAGCATCAAATATCACCCCTAGATTTTTCAATTTAGACTGACACTCAAGTACAGTGACATCAATGGATAGGCTACTAGGACTGGCCTTACACAATTGATAGGAGGTGCCAAGCCAATAAGTATGACTTTAGTCATATCATAGTTAAAGGAAATTATGGACCATCCAAGTTTTTTATCACAAGTACAGTTGGATAGGAGAGAAGCAGCCAGAGTAGAATCCGGTTTAGTGTGGATGTATTTCTGAGTGCCATCAGCATAGAAATGATAATTGAGCCATGTGTTCTAAACAGTGGAAACATGTAAATGATAAAAAGTAAGGGACCAAAGATTGAGCTCTGAGGAACACCTTGCTTGACTGGACCAACTTCAGACTGAAATCCGCCAAGAGAGACAAAAGTGACAGCGATTAGTTAGATATGACTTAATCCATTTCAGAGCCAATTCTGAGACTCCAAATATGGTTACAAAGTGAAAGTGTAAAGGATTGGGGTTTACAGTATCAAAGGCAGAACTACGATCCAGTAGAATAAAAATAGTTAGTGAACCAGAATCAGATTCTAACAGAAGATCATTAGTGACACCCTGTCTGTCACACCCACCTGTTCCATGTTCCAGCACCCATTCTTGCCCTAAGTTTGCAGCTGCTGTCTTTTTGCTTTTCGCTTCCACTGGCACTGCAGCCAGTCAGAGGGGGTACTATCACAGAAAACTTAGAAGCAGTTCTCTCCCTGCTTCAGTGATCCCATGCACCCACCCATGATCCCCTGTCTACAACCTGCTCCAATGTGATCCTGTGCACCCACTGCCTACAACCTGCCTCAGTTTGACCCCATTCACTCCAGCTTGCAACTGGCTTCCAGTAACCTTGAGTGACTCACAGCATCCCAGCCTTCCTGCTGTGACCTTGTATGTTCCCTTGCACACCTACCTGCTTCCAGTGCTCTAGTGTGTCCCTAAGCACTCCAGCCTCTACCATATCCCTGTAACCTTGTGTACTTCTGCCTGTGTTCTTCCCCAGTGACTCTGTGACTCCTGCCTAGACCCCACTTGTCCTGAGATCCCAGGATTCTTGTGCCACAAGAGACTCATCCCTGACAAATCGTACTCAGTCTACAGTAGTCTTCATGCTCGAGTGAGTCAGAGGGCTGCAGCCTGGGAGCCATCAGCAGTCAAACCCATCTCCAAAATCAGGATCCCTGGTGAAGACCAGGCAGCTCCTTAATACCTGGTCTTGGCCCTTCTTAGGACTATCAGCTTCAGAAATGAGCTCACTCCTGCTTCCTCCATGGTTTTTGCCACTGTCTGCCCCAGCTGCTATAACCAAAGCCTGGTTAGCCAGTCTGCCCCTTATAAATATATGCAGTGCCTTGAAGAAGCATTCATAACCCTTGAAATTTTCCACATTTTGTCATGTTACAACCAAAAACGTAAATGTATTTTATTGGGATTTTATGTGATAGACCAACACAAAGTAGCAAATAATTGTGAAGTGGAAGGAAGATGATAAATGGTTTTCACAAATGTTTACAAATAAATATCTGAAAAAGTGTGGCGTACATTTGTATGCAGCCCCCTTTACTCTGATACCCCTAACTAAAATCTACTGGAATCAATTGCCTTCAGAAGTCACCTAATTAATAAATAGAGTCCACCTGTGTGTAATTTAATCTCAGTTTAAATACAACTGTTCTGTACATTGCACTTGGTGATGTAAGACTTGGTTTCAGCTGCTCGGGCATAGAAACCATTCCATGAAGCTCCGTATGCACTGTTGTGCTAATCTGATGGTCACACAAAGTTTGGAGATCTTCAGCTATTGACTCTGTAGACAGTTGGCAACTTCTGCACACTGTGCAGAAGTTCAGCATGCATTGACCCTGCTCTGTCATTTTACGATGACCGTGGAATATTAAGTAGCAAGGAAATTTCACAGATGGACTTGCACAGGTGGCAACCTATCACAGTACCACGCTTGAACTCACTGAGCTCCTGAGAGCAACCCCATTCTTTCACAAATGTTTGTAGAAGCAGTCTGCATGCCTAGGTGCATGACTTTATACACATAAAGAAAAATGTATAAAAACAAATCATCACGGCTGAATACTCTGTTTGTCTTGAGAGCATGGACTTGGTGTTGTTGGGCATCCTCTTTCTCCCCAGTATTGGAGGGGAAGAGACAACGCTTCTTCAATGGGATACCCAACACCTTTCAGAAAAAATACCTTTCATCAGGGGAAGATTAGAGAAGAGGATGGTAAGATTTAATTCTACAATATAATGAATAGCAATAAATAGCAATGAGAATTCTGTGCACATTAAGTTGTATACATAAATCATTTAGTGTTCAATGAGGTATATACCATCCAAGACATATGCAAATACACCAAGATTCACTGCATCCAATTAAAAACATTTTGTCATCATCCATTAACACCTCAAGTGGACCACCAGATGTGGATCTCCCCGAGAGGTCCAGAGGGTCCCACACTGAGGTTGCCCTAGCAACACCACATTCAAGCTGGAAACATCTGAAAAACAGCTAATAAATAGAACACCTATTTCAAATGGCATATAAAGATTATCCAAAAAGAGGCACATATAAAAATATCTAGGTCTCAAGTCAGCCAGCCACCCAAAGAAGATTCTCATTTATTTACAATCTATCGTGATGAGTAATAACAAATAAGTGAATCAGTGTATTAAATAAAAATATATAAACAGACATTTATTCTCAATGGTATATGAGGGGTTGAAATTGCCCCTACATACGGTGTG